TGTCGATGGTAAACTGATTTCTAACTTTTCGTAGTACTATTTCATTGGATAATTTTCAACTAGGCAACTTTAATATTCTTTTGAGGTTGCCCACATCAACAGGATTCTATGAATTGTTGTGAGACAAAAAGTCTTCAAATTTTTAATATGTGAATTTATAATATTATATGTTATTCAAATTTATTGATTTAAGGGCGGAATTTTCAAAAGATAATAAATGCTATCTGAAGAATAAAGTTGTTGCTATCACTATCTTATACAAACATTCTGACGCGACAGCATCATAATTATTGCCCAGGTAACTTTTATCTATCCATTGAAAAATCTGCTCTAAATATTCCTACTTCAAATATGTTTTAAATAGGAATATTTATATCAACAAAGTCACTTAATATATTTTTTATCGTCGTCGAAATAAATTCGTCAACCACCTTTAAGTTGCATTTTTGAAAATATTTTATTAGGTGTCACAATATATATCTTTTTGATAACTTACAAATAACAGATGCCACTTCTTTCGAAAGCGGATCCTTATTATGGTCCAAGTAAACTGAAAGCATTATTCGAAAATAAACTAGAGATAGAATGATGCACTTTCATTTGAAAAAATCAAATCTGCAAATCTTTCAAAGATAAAAAAGAAAATGATGTATTTTTTGAATAAATATTCCTTCCCCATATTCACATTGTACCTATTCATTCAGGTGAGCCTCTTTTGTTTAGTAGTTTCTTGCAACTGCATGATCAAGAAGGCAATGTTAGGATCTGACTTCAAAATATCTTCGTCCTATATCCGTGGACGGCACAGTTGACGCGGTGGCTGGGTTGCCGCGCAACGTGTGTGTTCGATTCCCGCACGATACACCTCTTCGTGTGATCCACAAATAGTTGTACAAAGCGTGTTAAAAATTATGTTTCTGAACTCACCTACGACATATACATATGTATGTAGGAAAAAATTTAAATGAGAGCATTTATTCATTTAAAAAAAGAATGAATTATTTCATACCCCACAAAGAACTACAACATCATATTTTTAGGACGTAAATAAGTTTGGCTGTCACCCTTCCAAGCCATTCTAAGTCACACCATGTAGCCACCAAGTCTAGTAACTAGGTACCTACTACTGGGGACACTGGTGATTCACAAGCCTCTATTGCGTCTGCAGCTAATCATTGCGGTTTGTCCATAGGCACTTTTACACTTTGTTTTGTTTTGCAACGCAACATGGGCTCATTGGAAAATTAAATTCAATATGTTTGTAAAGTATTCCATTTGCATTTAGTGTATGTATGTATACCCATGACATAATATTATTGTAAGATGTAGCAAAAATATTTTGTTTACTTATGTCTGTTATTCGACCCTACAATTATTACTATTATGGCATATTTTACTCAAAGTTATAAGTAGGTATGTGTAGCATCGACACAACGACAAATCTTAGTGTAGAACAAATTTTACTTAAATCTATACCAATATTATAAAGAGCTAATATTTGTAAGTTTGTATGTTTTTAAGTTTGTATGTAGGGGGTAATCTTTGGAACCACTGTTCGGATTGCCAAAATTCTTTTACTGATAGATAGCTACAATGTTCCCGAGTGCTATAGGCTATAAAACATCACGCTACAATAAAATTGAGCCGAGCAGCGAGTCAAACCGCTCAGGAGTATTGTATTGTATTCCTATACTATTGTAATCTTGTATTCGACACAATTTTTTTTTTGTTCAGAATAAATAAATAAATAAATATTTTTGACCTGGTTTGACATTAGCTCTTCGTAAAGTAACAGGTGCAAGGTTATGGTTATTAAATTTATTCCTCATAATCTTTATAAGGTTTTTCAGAAAACATACAAAGTTTCCTGAGTTTTTAAGTAAAGTATTTACATAAAAATGTCAAGTTCGACCCGTGTTGTACACACGAAGTAGGTACACAGCACGAGCTTTTGAAACCTAGCAAGTGTAAACGTGACCTTTCTACATTTTTTTTTTAAGTTAATCTTGGACACTGCGACTGGCAGCGAAACTTTTGTTAAAAAAACTAAACTTGGAGTACAAAAACCTAATTTTACGCGTTTCCTCCATGGAACAGGAACAGAAAATCTATGCTAACTTCTTTATACCATATCCCATTATGGTGATGAAAGATCATTGTATAAGGGAGTTCTAAGATATTTCGCACGTAACTACTTAAAAATAAGTGTCAATTACGATTGTTCTTTACGTTTAAGCAATCGACCCGTTTATGACAATTGGCGATCTGATTGGTCAGCTCCAGATTAATCAACCAATCAGAGGGTTTATAGCAGTAACGTTCAAATTTAGACATAAAAATGGCTTGGCAATGTTGAATTAACTTTTACAGTAATAATTATAAATTGTTTATTAAAACAATGATAAACAGTAAATGGTAATCAAACTAACCAACAACGTCCAATGATTTGTAGTAGCTTTTTTAATTAACCTAATATTACTTAGTATGTATGTGCTTACATATATTTACTAGGCTTAGCTCCTTAATTCTGTATGTTGTAATACTTAGCATTATCTCAGCGAGTGAATAATAAGGCAGGCAAATTTGCTTAGCCAATAAAAACAATGTACATATAGTCAACCACATGTCAATAGAAACAGCTGAGTTACGAAAACAGCCCCTAATGCTTATGAAATAAAGACTGTACTAGGGTTATTACACAAACATTCTAAGATGTGATTTCTTCGAAAACTACCCATTTACATAAATACCCAATTTTTTAATTCTAATAATAGTGCAAAATTATAATAACTATGTACGTCTGATAAGCACAAGTTAAATCCTACCATTTTAGACATTTACTGCTATACTTATTACTAGCTTATACGATTATTCGCTAATCGGCTCCTATTAGTCGTAGTAGTGATGTTTTCTAGTATATCTTGCTAACTGGTCTACTAGTCAGTTCAGAGATTGAAAAAGCGCGTTTAAACAACCAAATAACTTTAAAATTATAAAGTTCATAATATTTGGACAGGTTAAAGATTTGGATTTTATGATAAATTCAAGTTATTTTAGTTATTTTGATTTATAACAAAAAAAATATCGAATAAGAACTTCTTAGATAAAGAACAAAACTTTGGTTCAACTAAGCATGGTATGATATTACGTTGAAAATAAAGATGTTTTAATTTTTTCATTCATTTGTCAAATAAATGAATTAATAAGAATTATATTACACCTACCTAGGCATTGTACAATATTTACATAAACATAGATGTAGTTGGTCACTCAGATCTTAGAAGCGTATTCAATTTGCATATCGTTTTATTATACCTAGACTCTAGACAGTAAGATTGATTGCCATAATAATAATAATACCATATACCATTGTGTGTACATTTTTAGGTATTTAAACACGTGTTATATACTCGTTGTAAACACATGAAATTAACTAATTCTAATAACTAATACTAATAAATCAAATTTCGCTTTTTTATGCAATAGGTCGGCACACGAGCAGACGGTTTACCTAATGGTAAGCAATCAGCACCACCCATGGACACCCGCAACGGAGGAGTTACTAGTGCGTTACCGACCTTTTAGGGATTAGGGTTTTGGAGATTTATGGACTGGGGAGGGATCCATGGAGGGGAAGGATTGGGCCTCCGGTAACCTCACTCATACGGCGAAACACAACGCTGTGGTGTGGTTTTTCTGTGAGGCCGTGATATCACACCGGTCGAGCCGACCCATTCGTGCCGAAGTATGGCTCTCCCATACTTATTTTAAATAATTCTAATAACTAATACCGATAAATCTTCAGTTTTCGCTTTTACTAATATATATTATGTACATAGTATACCTGATAATCATATTACTATTTACTATTTAAAAAGTAATATTATTATCTTGTCGTAGCTCATTTAAATATTGCTACGCTTTCTCGTAGCAAACACATTAATTCTGTAATTACCTACAGTAAAGTAAAATTACTAAATAATAAATAAATAAATGCATGATGCAATGCGTGTGAAATTTTTCGTAGCACTTAAGTTGTGGGTCTGCTACGCGCTACGAACTACGTAGCGCATGTCTACAGCTAGGAGGAAAGAAGTTTAGGCATAGGTATATAATTATTTCAGAACTTTTGTAATCAAATAATCTTTCATGCAATTTAATTTTATTAATATTACTCTTGATAAATATACAATTGGCAAGCATTATACTCTTATCACTTTATCAGCGTAATCTATTGAGAGCTGATATTTTTCGAAATAGTTTTGGTTTTAAAAATCTGTTTTAACTGAAGAATTTTCCTTATAGTGACCCTGCTGATTGTCACCGATTATTATTGATCAGTAATCAAATTCCCGTTTGTATCTGTTATATGTATTAAGCATTACTATGTATATACTAAACGTTAAGATTAACAATATGTATTCAATTTAATTTCATAGTGCAATATATGTATTTGAAACATCAAATTAAACTTACACTAGCTAAAGTTGTACGAATTTTTTACTATATAATAATATTCATATCATTATTCATACTTTGTGTTAATCTTTGCCAGTCATTTAATCGAAAATAATGCGTAGTAAGAAATGATAAAATACTACAGAAATCCAGTATACCTATAAATAAAAATAAAATATAACACTATCATCGAAAGTAAATAACGCATAGATATGTTGTGGACAATGCCATCCGCGCGATAACTATATAAGTTACACTTATTACCATCCCTGTTTGAGATAAACATTAGTGTATTTAGTCATCACTGCCGCAGTTTGCCTTGGCTACTACAGTAACAATTTGCATTAAGAAACATAAACATTACATATGCAAAGCGACATGTCCTAACAAATCGCAAAAACTTGCAGTCCACTATCACAGAGCGATCTTGATTAGCGGCGACCCACGCACTCATCGCGGCGGAGAACTCGCCAAACGCATCTTGTAAACAAAACAGTTCGCCAGTTGCGTGGATATCATAAGCCGCGCTCGTCGCCTGCCGTTCATTCCGCCGCGAGCTGCCGGCCACGCCGCACGTACGTCGCGACAATGATCGATTACGCGCGCCCTCTCTACGATCAAAATATGCCTTGCGATCTATATTACCCATCTACTTCACCGGCGCCCGCGCGCCTTGACGACTTCCAAGTTTTCAAGAAAGGAACTGCTTCGCACATTTACGGAAATTATTATTCTAACTCGCCCTACGACTCGTACCCCGAGCCCGAGATTGACAGCGCCATGAACGTGTACCACAACCTGGTCAGCTGTCGTGACTACCCTCGCGACAACCGGGATGACTGGAAGTACAAGGTCGTGGATGCCTGGAATGAAGATGACACCGTCTCCTGGATGATCGACACCGTCCAGTACTTGGGACATTGTGAAACTGAAATTCCCTTTTACAACTTCAGAGTTAAAGGATTCGAGCTGAGGAATATGAAACGTGAGGATGTGCTGAACAGGATGCTCCACCCGAGCATTGACCACATTACTTCGAGACGAATTGCGGATAGTGTGTATGAAAAGCTGCAGAACCGTCTCCACGAAGAAATATTACGCCAGTCCTCCATCATCAGATACGCAGACGTTGACCCGTACCATAGCCAAGAGTCCACCAACACCATGCTCGATTTGGATTCTCTGGATCACAAGAACAGACTCTACACCTCCGACTACACCCCCAACGACAGCACCCTCCTGCATCAAACTGACTCCAGCGATGACACTGAGGATGTGTTCCGTTCCTCAGAGACCGCGTCCCCTGAGTACTCGTATGGCAGTGATGGAAGCAAATCTGGAGACGAAGATGACAAAAGAAAAATAGTGAAAAGACCGCCCGGCAGGCCGAAGGGCAGTGGCCGAAGACCGATGAAGCGTCCAAGGAGCGTGTCCGTGCCGGAGTTCCTGAGGAACTTGCTGCTGGATTCCAAATACTGCCCGTCAATCATCAAATGGGAGGATCACTCTCAGGGAAAGTTTAGGTAAGTTTCTAAACCATTTTTATATTTGCGCATTACAAGTTACGCAGGATTTGCAAGGAGTAAGTTGTCGTGACTTGGAGATTTGTTTACTGTGGTCACATCTCGCTGTTTCGCTCATACATTATTTATCACGTACGAGGCACGTGGCGGCGCACCGGCCAACAATACACTATATTACAGCTAAACTATTGAAGCTGCAATGTGCTCAACCGATGATTATTGATCATGAGTTTTAGTGTTACTCGACACGTACATACTGAACAGTCTTAGCTAGTTAATGATTGCAACGGTGTCAAGTATAATTGTGTACAACTCTGACATCAAACATGTTATCTTTCTTATTGGAACATGCATGGCGCTAGACGGATGGAAGTTTGCCGTGTGACCTTATCATCCTTGTAATTACCATAATGGTCATTAAACTAGTGACCAGAGCTCCTTGATTGTAAAGAGATATAGCTAGTATGTAATTACTCATTGGCATAATGGGCGATCAGTCTTCATTTGCGGCGAGTGATCAAGGTGCGACATAATTTCACATGCAGGGTCGTCTTGTTCTATATGCAGATGATCGACAGCCAGTATACTCATTCAGTATGTTTTAAGCCCACTTAAGACTCGTCTTTCTAACAATCTCTCTACATATGTATTCGCTATATCATGAAAATGGTTTGCAAACTTACAATGGACGTGAACGTTCTAATTTATCGGAAGTTTTATGATGATACACAATAATAGACAATAAGCTGTCTAGCCGGCTTGTACTCGTAAATAAATATTAGTGATAGTTATTTACAATCTGACTGAAAATCAAAGAACTTTTGATAAATCTTCCTGTACATTGCGCAACAGTCGACACTAGTGCAAGGCTAGCGTTGCATTATTTTTACCTTTTTCTACAACACAAAAGACAACTAGCGATAGCCTTGCTTATCTCCCTAGAGGTCATGATTAAGGATTTATGGACACGCGATCGCTACCATTTAATCACTAATTAATTATATTCTAATTGCTCTATAAAACGATTGTTCTAATATTTAAGCATTGTCAATTACACGTGCTGTTTTCGCTGTATTTGCTTCATTCTTTCCTTGTCCTTTGTGATTCATTTTGATTCAGGAAAGTTCGCGAGTTCGTAATGTCAAGATCAGCAGTTTTAATAGGCGTTTAACGAGTGTTTTATAGGGCCAGCCACCTCCACAGCCGCCCAGCTGCGGCTGGTTGCCTATAGCAACACTTGAGTTATTGTAATCACCATCCGTAACTGGACTAGAAGGACATTAAACACACGTGTCTTACTTGCATTTGCAATTATTCATCTGTACAACTTGTGTCAAGACAAGTTGCTTAGTCCTTTTGTGTCTCAAGTTCGTTGGCTTTCATATACAGTGACCCATCAGCCCATCGCCTCTTTGAGGATCATCCAAATAAATCATCGGTTTAGCAAATATTCTCGAGTGCTCACAATAACCCATACCACGGTTTTGTTTGTTGTTTTTATCTGTCGCCTCAACCTTGCCATGCCGGTTCGACGCTGGCCTTGCTCAATGGTTTACATGTAAACGATACACCTTAACTAATACAAAATCAGTCTTATTTGTTAAATGTTTAAGTCTAAATTATGTTGGCGTGTCTTGTAAAACGTTTAATAGCTTCATTTATCAATGTATGGATGTCGTTTTGTTCCATTATGGTGCTTATTATGATTAGCGTTGCAATAATTTTTCTTTGCAACGTTCGGGAATGCAATTCGGTTTCAGTGGGAGCGTGTCGCTTTAGTGGTTAGTTAATATAGGAACAGTTGTCATCTATTGTAAGCGGGGAGAAAATATTTCGCGAATATATTGTAATAATATTTTTAGAAAACAAGTTTTTAATAATAATAGCATAAGTTGATTATGTGAAACCGTTTAACTTGCTGTAGCATAGTAACAGTCTATAGTTTTATATGAAGTACCATCTTCATTACGTTCTCAAAGGTCACCACAGTAATATACACTAACACCAGTATTATCATTAAGTATGACTGTGTGCAGTTTTTATTGCCCGTCCGAGGTGGCCTGAAGATCTTCCAACCGGTTTCTGTGTAGGTTTAACTAGATTTAGGATGGAACCACAGTAGCAAGGCGGGGCGAAGGCGACTTACAGGCGATGTAAACAAAGCGAGGCGTAGTTTCATTGTGAATGGAGTTACAAATACTGCAAGCACGACTTGTTCTATTAGAGTAGTATACAAGAATGTAGTTGCACTACATTTATTGACAAGTATAAACGGAAGCAATTACTGCACTCGTAATGTGGCGTAATAAGGCGTATAATAACTCGCTCGCTCGCTGTCGCCGCCACAGCATTCCTAGCCTTAGTTTTTAATGCAAATTCACTTAACAATCATTAATGCTGACTTCATGTTTACTAATCAAATACTTATAATCATAACTTTAAATGATTCGCATAGAACGAATAATTTGAATTGAAAAGAAGATAATAAAAGTTACACAAACATTGATAAGCTAAATATTTTTACAAACGCATTAGTAAATGTTCGTACTTAATTCACGTTAATGATCGAGCAATTCTAAAATCTTACATACAATTTATGCACAATTGACCCAGAGTCAGGGCATGTTGATAAATAAGTCAAAGAGCACACACACGTCTGGTACAATCAAGATAAAACATTACATACATGTGCTGGGGAATTCCAAGTCACAATTATATTGAACTGACCATTCATACTTAATGAAATGCCAAATACTGACAAATTGGCAATCTAATGGGGGCCTGAGTCACAGACAGTGTAATAAATAAGAACTTCTCAACACACGTCTAAAAAAACCCCAGCGTTAGTGACTGGAGGCTCAAACCTCCCCATCCTCAATTCTCTTGCCCACAAAAGGCCATCAACAAAGTTGTAACTCCTCTAATGTTGCGGGTGTCCACGGGCGGCATAGATTGCTTACCATCAGGTATTCCCTGCCTCGTTGGCAGCCCTATCCCATTTAATATAAGGTGCAATGTAGTTCCTCATTGTCATCGAAACATACGCACATAAAAAGTCTACATTATTATATTAATGTAAAAACCTTATTCCTCGTCTTGAGATGATGTATTACTCCTTCCATCAGTAATGCATGTTCTATTAAATTTGATTGACATTACACACCACCGAATCAAATTATTGAAATTAGCGTTGTGGATTTGCTATAGGTATGTTTTATCATAAACTCATAGAAATAATGAACTAACTACGTAATTAATTAAAACCGGTCACGATGTTACAATCACAGCGGAATCAATAATTTATTAAAACTTTTTGGATAATGTGTTAATAATGTTATCGAAATTAAATATTAAAAAAAATATTGTAATGTTACATTAAGTTTTAGTACTGCAGCTTCAATGATATTATTGTTTAATGATATTGAGGCGAGCACCTCCTTGTCTGTGGACTGTTTATTGATGTCGACAGATTAAGTTTTTTTTTGTTTTTGTTATTGTATTTTACGAGCGCGTGTTTTTGCTTCTCGCATCTCGACCTCGCAGTTTTTTCGCTCAGAACTGGTTAAACGTTAGGAAGCAATCTCGCGTTAAACGTTTCAAACGTCACTTGTAATGTGCTTGCAGTTCATTCTTTACAACAAACGTGGTTTTCATTAATACCATCTATTACACTGTACTATTTATCGAGTAAACAAAACAAATTGTAATCAATACTAAACCTTATTTCCATTGTCTAAATATCGCTTTCCCATCAAATAATATAATCAGTTATGCCCTTTCAGCACCAGCAAAAAAATTTTACTCGTGCCGCTTTGATAAGTATCACAAAAATGTACCCACTTATAATGGTACGGATTCCGGGAACACTGCTTTCCCACGTGTTTTCCTCGGCTTTTCTCAGAATTTGCCTCCAATAATCAGAAATACTGCGAAGGTACATAGTAAATTCGTTGACCCTTCAAGTAGGCACATTTTGGTGGAACGTGTAACGATTTAATTATATAAGTGGATGGATTACAAAAAAAGTTTCCAAAGTTGTTTAGACGATACTGCAGACAGGCGTTTGGAGGCGCGAGTACAGGCCGCGACTTGTTGAACTGTAAACTGTAGGTTAGTGTCGAGTTAATCAAGCTGAGTGCAGAGCGCATCCCAGCAGTTTGGGCAAAGTTGCGTGTCGTCGGGTGAGAGTAGATGTAGTAACGCAGGCCGCGGTACATGGCAGCCGCGGAGGGTGGCCGGGCCGCAACTAGGGCGCCCCCCGCCTGCACCGTAGTACTATTATAGATTTTTTCTTTTTCTTCCGGGGTTGCTACGCACCGCCAAGGCCGGTGCGAGCTTCCGGTTACTTTGCTGGGATACACGTGGACCGTTCGCCTATTTTTATCGATAAAATACCCGAAGAAAAATGTTTTGCTTACTTTTCTTAGGGTAGTTATTAATTTAGAGGTCTCACGGATGCTGTAATTGGATACTGGGGATTGAGTATTATTTTTGTGTTCGATTTTGTTCGAAGATTTTTCTTTGTTTGTTGACACGACACACCGCGCTGTGCTCTTGTACACAATGATGACAAATGAATACAATGTCAAATGTTCAAATAGGTCATTTGAAATGGCAAAACTTACAAGTAAAACAAATAAAAAAGCTTTTAAAGACAAAGTGAGCGACAAAGCGTTGTGTAACGTGTTCTAAGTAAATCAAGGCTCCAGCTACAAACATAAAGTTTGTCCGCTAATGACATATCCTAGTCTAACTTGATCTCCGTGTCACTCTTGAGGTCAAATAATAAAATGAATTTCGTCCTCACGCTTTGCTTTGCTTATTTATTAAATCCCAAGTCTGGTTTTTGTGTGTAACAATAGTAGTAGTAGTAACAGTAGTAGTAGTCAAATATCGAAGTTGATTGTTAGTTCCATTATTCTCATACAACATAAGAACAAATCCCAAAACATTGGCAGCCAACAATAAAGTTCCAAGAAACAGAACAACGAAGATTACGG